ATTAATTTAAAAATTAATGGAAAAGGCTAAAGTGCATGATGCCATCTTTGAGGAAAATACCTGAGACAAAGATTAGAAAGATACGAGTGCGTGCCAGAGTGACTCACTTTGATTAAATCCACCAACGCTCACAGTAATTTTATACGTCTCTATTCCAGAAAATTCCCCCTCCGCTTTATTTAACCACAGAGCCCAACGCTTCTGAATCTAATTGTTTTGATAGGGTTTTGCTGCTAGAGTCAGATTAACTGAGGAGTTCTGGATTTCAAAACAAAAAACTATAAATTGAATTATTGAACTGAATTAAATCATTTTTGAATTAATTAAAATGGCTTATTTCCACACAAAAACATTAGTGTTTTTCCTTTTTTTTAACCATGGCTGTATATGAAATAAATGTTAACAGTAAATATACAATAGGTTTGATTTTGTTATGCAAAAAAAGTGGTTAAAATTTAACAATTCATTCATTCAACCTTTATTTATGCAGGTTAGTTCCCATTGAGCCTCAATGACTCATTTACAAGAGAGACCTGTTACAGACAAAAGTAGATTAAGAAAAGAGAAACACGAGAAGAGGGGAGATAAAAAAAAAAAAATCATATCTCATACTATGTCCTGGCCGGGGCACAAAGTGAAAGTTGCAAAAAATAAAAGACCTCGCACATAAATAGCAACATACTAATGACATCATAATACATTGATGCATGAGGAGACTGACAAAGATGGTGAGTTGTCCATGGACACCGCCAGAAAGTTCCATAGTCCTGATAAGAGATGGCACAGTGTCTATCAGTCGGCTCAGCTCTGATACAGGTCCACAGAGGTCCTTGAGGGAGCAGGCAGGGGAGAGTTCACATAACCTCCAGGAGAAATTTGAGCTAGTTGGCCTATGGCCAAGCGAGGAAGCCTGATTCAGATAACATTTGTTTTGGAACAGGCTGACTCTACTTGATTTGTTTTGTCTGCCTTCATAGTTCTGCTGACATGTCTCAATGGCGACTCCAAACAGCCAAATTTTGTGGTCACTCTGCCGGGCCGTGCTTGTAGCCTTCTCCAAGTTTGATTCCTTCATGCCAGCGAGTTCCAGGAGCCGCAATTGTCCTGCGATTCTCAGAAATCGCGTCCAGCTTACGGCTGAGCTCACAAAGCATCTGAGTCTGAGTGTTCACTGCACGGCACATTCCTTCACATAAGGCTGACAACCTCACAACTTCCAGAACTGCTGCCGACGTCTTCCGAATTTGTCGATACACCAGATACCCGCCAACTCCAAAAAGCAGAAATCCTGTTATCATAAATCCAATTGTGTACACGTCTTCTACATCCTCAATGGACAATACGAACAGACACACCGTCTTCCACTGTCACCAGGAATCCATAGTGTACCCAGCTGCAAGTGTCCATTCAGGGCATGAGGGCTCTCCTTTGCCATGTACATTTAACAATTAATCATTAAAGTTGATAGCTTTGGCTAAAAAGAAAAGGTAACCATGGTAACCAGTGCACATACATTATGCAATATTTACATGATGGAGCTCCCGTCCTGATCTTGCAACACTTTGTGATGTGTTTTAAATTACCCATGTGAAGCTCAGCCACATCGGTCAGGCTGTTGATGTCCAGATGGACACGTAGCTGAAAGCAGTGAGCCGCTTCAGGGTTTGAGACATGAGACACAGGAGACAAACAGGTCAAACCAAGAGTCCAATTTCTGATCGATTTGGAAGAAGTCACAAGTGCCAGTTCATCACTGGCCGGATCAATACTTGGGTTTGCACAAGAAGCAGCTCTGTCTGATTCCCAACAGGCTTTTTTATTTGTCTGCATCTTAGTCTCAGCATGAATATTTAATGAACGTGTATATATGAGGATTTTTAATTTTCTTAACTGTATTTAGTTTATTTATTATAATGCTATAAAAGCCATCTCAATATGCTATAACTTAACAGGTGTAGAAAAACCCCGGAGAGCAAAAACTGCTGATGCAAAATAATGAATCTAGTTTTAGGTACAACTTTCTGTAACAGTTGTCTGAACTGTCAGCCTATTAAATTTTTTACGCTTCAGTTCTCACAACCCATTAAATCGTGCACTGACTGACAGGAATGCAAAGTCTTTCTCTGTCATCTCACTACAAAAAAAAAAAAAAGATAAATCAGAGGGTGTATGGGGGTAGACTCATATTTTCAGATGATTTCACTACATGGACTCTGTTGTTTCACAGTAAACGTGTTCTTGGCTAATTAAAGCAGAAGTGATCATAAGATAAATGTAAGTAAACAAAACTAAATGCAGATGTTTTGTGAGCTTGTTGGAAGAGGAGGTGCTCGTATGTGTGTGTTCCAAAAAAAAAAAAAAAGAAGTGATTTATAAACGTTTCAGTAAGAACACCCATGATGGATCTGAGGTTTAAAGTGATGCTATTAGAGCTTTTGGACATATTCCATTTGTTTTTGAGCTTAAACTTGAGTTGTTCTTGGCTTGTCTATGCTTTTGTGATTTCCGCCTATGTTACGAAGAATTTAATAGTTCATTGAGTAGATCAATCCTCTGAGTTTGTGTCCCAATACTTTCCAGGAATAGATGATTTCTCCCAGAACATGGCTCTTCAGCTGTGTAAAATGCCTTCTTCTCAGCTAAATCAGTAAAATTATGTTACTTGCAGTGAGAACGTTAAATAACTTTTTAAAACCCTGCCATCAAACTAAACCCAAACTGAAACAGACACAAAATGTAAAAGTGCGTTACAAATTAAATTCATTATTATTATTATTAAACCCTTTCTCATACTCAACTTAATATTTGATCAAAACTCAAGTGTTTGCATTTAACCAACCTAAAACCAGAAGATCAGTTAAAGAAGCAAACATTTCATATCGTTTAGCAAAAGAACACAGAACTTCTGTCCTAAAGGCTCCATCTGGTGTAAATTTGATGAAACACAAGGTTAAATTCCTCTTCTATATTCATTTTTCCATTTTCATTCTTAGTTTCATTTGGCATATAAATATGTGGTTAAGTGGAAGCAATAATACTATTTTCGTGTTTTTTCAGGTCACTCAACAATCAATAAGGCGGCACGGTGGAGCAGTTGGTAGAGCTGCCGCCTCTCAGCAAGGTCGCTGGATCAAATCCCAGCTGGGGGCCTTTCTAGGTGGAGTTTGCATGTTCTCTCTGTGCATGTGTGCGTTTTCTCCAGGTACTCCGGTTTCCTCCCACAGACCAAAAACATGCATGTTAGGCTGATTGGCAACTCTAAATTGTTCCTAGGTGTGAGTGAGAGAGTGAATGATTGTTTGTCTCGATGTGTCCCTGTGATGGACTGGAGACCTGTCCACGATGTCCCCTGCCTCTCGCACAATGACTGCTGGACATGGACACCAGTCATCCCCGCAATCCAAAGAGGAAGAAGCGGGTAACAATAATGAATGGATAAACAATCAATAAAGTGTGGAAACAATCAAATGTCAAGAAATATACTATTCACTGTTTTTTATATCTTCACTGAATGAAAGTGATTAAGATCAAACCTTTCCACGGATGTCCTGCACACACCGCATCAAAACAAATGAAAGAACCTGGTACTTTTATTTACAATATTCTAATATTTCAGAAACATAAATGATAGTCTGATAAGTTGCAGGAAAATCTGCATCTCAATAAATGAACAAAACCATCAAAATAAAATATGTACAACTTGAAATGTAATAAACCACAGATTTTATTTGCAGGGTGGAGTTTCATAATAAAACAGATATTTTTTTAAACAGACACTGAAATGTGTCTTTTCACATGTTCAAATTCAAACATAATTTAGGATTAGATTTAAACGATTGTAAGAACTGCAGACTGAAATATATATTTATACAAGATATATACATATATGTATGTATGTATTAACAACTTCAAATAAACCAAATATACAAAAAAAGATCTAGATTTTTTTCAACAATCCTGACAAAGACAAATTTAACCAGAGTGCGGATTTTTAAACAAATTACTTCGCAATGAACAATAAAATCAGTACTTCTCTATTTTTTCAGTTTTTACATCTGTTGAAAAACAGAAAACTGAAATATGTGCGTTTGATATAGTAGAAGAAAAAAAAAAACGTGTTTATTGGTGATAAGTTAGGCATCCTAAAGATAATAACCCCTCCATGACAGTGAGACTCAGATCACCTACCGATCTTAAAGTCATTAATGAAGAGGATTTTACTTTAGAGCAGCTAAATTGGTGAATCTGCACATTAATAAAGACCAAAAACACTTAAATTAGCTTTGTCCCAAATCAAAGCATAACACACCCTACAGTTTGGAAGTAAAAAAAAAAAAAAAAACTTTAAATGAAGCTTTTACAGTAGCCTAAATAAGGATTAATTTATACAAAGCTAAAAAGCAGCAAACAACTATCCTTCAGTGCAGCTATTATTTATTAAAACATTCAATATTTTACTGTATCAAACTCCTACACTTGCATCTTCATCCGTAAAAAACTTGTTCTTAGCTTAAAAATATAATTACATTACTTCTAACAATCACAAACGGTCACTGAACTCTGTAAACAGATTATGCAAAGATAATCAAATTAGAATGGATATGTATTGAAGAGCAGACGCTTCAGCTACTAACGTGCTCATAAACTGAATATTTGTTTAAAAAAAAAAAAACTTTGGTCAGCAACTCTGATTGAAAAACAATTTTGCTGAAAACTTTCTTTCTTGACATCACTTACACATTTGTAATTACAGAATAAGTGCATGTTACTTCATTCTCAGCCTGTAAAACTACACAAAATGAAAGTACTTACTGTACTCACAAAAGTATGAGCTTGTACTTTAAATTTATGATTGTCTATTGTTGTCGTCATTCTTTGTTGAAATCAGGTCTCTCTTGTAAATAAGTCCTCAAGGTTCAATGAGATTAACCTGTCTAAATAAAGGTTGAATGAATGAATGAATGAATTTACTATGATGAAACAGTTCCAAAATGTCTTTGTTTTGTTAGAAACCCATGCAACATAGTGCAAATTTACTTCCATGTTGCTCCTCCTTGAGCTGAATATTGGATAGATGTGGCATGCTAAACCATCGTGCGCTCATCAGACTCCACAGTCGTCAGTTCTTTGCTGGACTCTACGAGTGAGGATGAGGAAGGTGGAAACGGAAGCAACAGAAATGTGGAAGATGAGCTGCCACGCGTTCCTCAAGCCGTGCAGGTACAAGTTGCATAGAACGATGACGCTCAACAGAAAGAAGGACTTTAACTTCTTCTGAGAGGAGTGGAACAGGAACAGGTGGCACTGCAGAGGCAGCAACAAGACAAGTTAGAAAGAGCTCACTTGTTTTTGTGTTAAACAGCTGAGTAAAGGTGTTACTTACCTGAAACGCACAGCAGACGAACGCAAAGAGAAATGCCACAAAGTTCCAAATGCCCTCATAATCATCCTTTGGAAAGGAACATAATTAGTTTTAAACTACTGTTTTTCAAGTACTTTTCTTTTTTAATATTAACTTGCACAAGCATTTGAAATATATGCACAGGGTTCGTTTATCGCGGACTCGCTCAATCGCGGTTTTTCAAAATAAGACTGGACATGACACACAATTGGTTGATTGATGGACGAGCCACACGATCGGCATGGAATTTTTATGTTAAATGAATGATTTAAAATTATTTTGCACCTGCCGCACCTTTGTGCAGCCCACACTGCAGGAAAAGCTTTAAGCTTCCTGCTGTAGCTGATCAGCTGCTCTCTGTGCAGAGCGAAGAAGTGGGCGTGGCCAAGAACGCCTGCAGGTGGCAAAGAGCAGAGAAGGCAGGGAGCTGAAATCATGACATTCTGTGCTCTTTTAGAGCGTTTAGAGTTTAGAAACATTGTTTAAAATATTGCAAGAGCGTGGGAAG